AATAGTCTAACAACAACATTCAAAGCTATTTAATACCAAAAGGATATTTAATGATATTTGTTATGATGAATGAGGGGATAAGGACAGGCAATAAATATGATAAATGGCAATAAATGTAAATAAAGAGAATGATTCACCCAAATGTTCAATGAAGTGAATGATTCTCCCTCTGACAGTGATGTAAGGCAACCAAACGTGGGAATATAGAAAACTTTATTAAATCTGATGTGAGAAAGTTTGGGACCAAAACAAATCGAATCTTGTGTAAAGATAGTGTTTGCAGTTACTTGAGAGTTAACTTTCTAGAGAGATCTTATCAAATAGAATGTTACATACCACTTCTTTCTCTCTCTATTCCTACTTATATGAGACATATCCCTTACCTACTGAAAGTACAAATGCAGAGAACATTCTTCAGAATATTCCTTTAAAATATCTTATTGCTAAACTAGCCATTTTGGTCGATCTGAGTGCTCGACCTCGACATTAGCTGCTCGGCTCGCCAATATTGCTTCTTAAGTACGACCTCGGCTTAATTGATTCTTGATTGCCTCATTTCAGGCGAGGTCCCCCTGATCAAATTTTGACCCATACAATAAGTACTAGATGTTACTGGATAGTCATATAATATGGTGGATTGTCAATTTCAGATCAACAATAGAGTTCTCTTTCGCTCCAGCCCCATGTTAAAATTGTTAAATGCATAAACTAGTAACACTGGCCTTTTTTCTTTTTCTTTTTTTGACAGCGGAGATGAATCTTACAATTTGAATGTGGCTTGGCCAATGAGTGGGAGACCACCAATGTAAATCAGAAGGCGTAGGTGTGGCCTACAGCCTGGGCTTTCGAGGCCTCGTAGCCAACGCCGTCCCGCAACGTGCACGCAGTGCTTATTTATGCACATGTTTTGGTGGGACCTACCTTTATTTTATACTAATCGAAATTCCTCTTTAATTGAAAAAGGAAATTGAAATTCTTATTTGGTTGTTTGCAATAAAAAACTCCCCTAATAAGTATTAAAATTTTGGTTTTCGATATAAAATTTTGCATGGCAAAAGTAAAGTACTACTTTACTTACTGACACAATACTCTACATTACAAATGCTGGTACTCCTGTAAAAGTAGACTTATGTACTTATGAGAATATAATAGTATGAAATAAGAATTGTATATTAGTAATATCTTGATAAAATACCTAAAGAAAAAATTCTCTTAAGGTAGGCCACCTTTGCATATCAATTTATGTACTTCATTTTAGGTGGTACTATTACTCTTTGTAAAGTTACAGAAATCTCTTTTACCATATATTTTGTATTTTTAATCTATAAAAATATTAATTATTACAGCTTGTAGTATTTTTTTATACAGTTTATAAATATGTAAACTTCATTTTAAATTCTTGAAGAACCTATCTTCAAATTTGCACAATAAATAAAATACTTTCATCATCGTGCACCAAATCACTCTTATGTAAAATTGGAACATAGAGAGTATAATTGTGTTTCATTACATAGCAATCTCTACATAACTATTCTCAATAAATAATTTTTATATTACTCCAACACTATTCTCTTTTACTAGTTTTTACTCCACCCCCCACCCCCAGACTCCTTTATTGATTTTCAATTATATATGCATCTTTTCCAGCCAAANTTATACAAAAATAATTTTTTCCTTTTACTAGTCTATTTTAACAATCAAGAGATTTTTTTTTAATATTACTCTTAGTATTATTTACCCACACTCTCTAAATTTATTGAACTTAAAAATTTAATTATCATTAAAAAGGATAATTCGATAAAATAAATCCATAATAAGTACTCCCTCTGTTCCAGTTTATGTAAACTTATTTCCTTTTTGGTCCGTTCTAAAAAGAATGACCCTTTTCTAAATTTGGTAACAATTTAACTTAAACTTACAATTCTACCCGTAATGAGAAATTTTTAGGGAAATTACCAGTTATGTCCATTTATAAGTAGCTCATTACAAAAATTGGTCAATTCATAAAATATTACTAATATTAGTCAATTAGCTATTTGTAGCAAAATTAGGTCAAATTCTTGCTTTATTTTTTTGAGTGGGTGTTATTAGAATAGATTGGGTACATCTTGAAGAGTTCGAATCTCAATTTTGGGATAATTTGGTGAGGTTTTGAGGTGGTTTGAATTGAAAATTTGAAGTAAAAATCGAACATGAAAAAAAATGATATGTGTATCACACTGTGTATCATTTGTGTATCACATATGTATCATATTTGTATCAATAATGTGTCACATGTATATCCATGTATACCTGTGTGTGAGATATATGCGTGATACATGTTTGATACAGTTGTCGCAGAAGAACTTTTCTGAACTCGATTTAATTACGAATTTTGATACAAAATCAGTCCAAATCACCTCCAATCTTCCTCAAATTTTGTATATTGGCTTATTTATATGTTTTCAATGAATTTCAACTATACCCATTGAAAAAAGTTCCTTTTTTGCTTAGATTTTGGAATATTGTATTTGTTTGTATTTCATCACCTTATTTGCCACCTCATCCATGAAATTTCCTTTCCGTCTTGCATCTAATGTTGCTAATCACGCTTAAAAATATGAAAGGAGATTTTTGCATGTGATTATTTGAGATAAAGAACCTTATTTATATGTGCTTGACTAGTTTTAGTTAGTTTATAACTAGTGACTAGAGGTTGGTAAGTTGAAACTTATATGGGACATTTGTGTAAGTTTCTCAAGTTTTTACAACCACACAAATACTTTGGGCTCCTTTGTGATTTGTTTAGGACCACAAATTTCAAAAGTCTTCGTTTTTTCTTATACTTCGTACTTAATCAAAAGAGTTCACATAAATTGAAACGAAGTGAGTAATTTTTTAAGGGATATGTCAAATCAATAGAAGACTAGTGAAAGGAAACGAAGGAAGTATTATTCCTTGCACAGTCATGTTTGTGGGTGTTATAATCTCACGTCTTAACATAATTGATGGGTACACCAAAAAAAATAGATGTTATCTTTTGGAGTTAAACTCATAACATAATTCGAAGATTGTCTCATTAATATATCAATAACACAATATATGTTAAATTAAAAGTTCAAGGATAATATAAACAAAATCAGGTACCAACGGTTATAGTAGACGAATTCCACAGATATCACTATGTGATAATATCTATTCGTAGCGTTTCATTAAACTCAAGAAGGTTAGAACACGTCTTGCACTAAAAAACTAGACCTCTGACTTAAAAAAGGGATGTCTGATTTCTAGTTATTGGTGCTTGTAATAATTTTAAAATTTGAGATTTCAAGAACCCCAGTTGGCGCCAACGTACCTGCCTCGGGGAAGTACATAAACATTTATTCTTATGGCAGCTATTTAAGATTTAACGTGCTAATTTTATTCTAAATATTTAAATTAAAATTTTTAATTTTATGATAACTCAGAATATTTATAATCCGAAAAATAAACAAAAAAGTTAAAAGTTAGGATATGTTGATTAATTCCTAAATATTATCGATTTAAAATGAGTACCGTGTGTGATTTCTGCACCTGCCCCATCACTCTAATAAAGGCAATGGGGCCTTGTCTTTCAAGTTCCAATCATACTACCACCAGTATTCTGAATATTTTATTGTAAGATCCCATAAGGTTTTAGTATTTTACTACTATCTGTCTACTTTTTTTCTTTTCAAATAATCAACTGAAAAATAAAGAACATCCAAATTGGACAAAAAGAGCAAATAGAATTACCAGTATACCCTTTTACATTTCTACTACATGTCCTCCGAGGACTTGTCTTCAAACATTCAGGACAAAAAGAGCAAATAGAATTACCAGTACACCCTTTTACATTTCAACTACATGTCCTCAGAGGATTTGTCTTCAAACATTCAATAAAGTGAAAATAAAGTAACCCAGCGTTTGGATATTTATTTGGTTGAAATTCAAAAAAAGAGTTTTTGAAGATGAGATGAAAAATAACTTTTGAAAGTTAAAATTGTATTTAGATATCCATTTTACTTGAAAATAATTTAAAATTTTATTAATAGAAAACTTCAAAAATTAATCTAGAGTTACTTTTTGGGATTTGAAGATTTTATTTTCAAAATATACCAAAAAATAGTTAAAATCTATAAACAAATAGATATTTAAAAATAAAATTTGAATAAAAGCCCCCAAATTTTATAGCCAAATGAGAGCTAAGTTAAGTCTTTATATACTGACAATCTGTCGACTTTTTACAATATTTTAGGTTATTAAATAAGTCACTATTTGTAATAAAGAGTATCGTAGATAATTTGAAAGTAAATCCGTTACCATATAACACTAGTACACAAATTACTCGCCGTCAATGTTTTCCATCGAACCATATAGTTTTTTTTTGCATATAAACTTCAATCACTTAATCATAATTAAAAAATATGTAGTATCACTCTAATTTTTAATTTTTTCACCACTTAATTATATTTTCTCGTAAAAGCCTTTTCACACTTAAATATAAAAAGAATCACTTGGATCATTCTAGATATTTATTTTCAGCATCATTGTAGATTAATATGGGACTAACAAAGGTTGTAGTGGAATGATAAATATTTGTTTATTTTTAACTATATAGTTCGGGCTCGAGCCCTGGGTATGAAGTATTCTTTGTTAGGAGTACTATACCCCAATGTAAAATTTTCTGGTGCGATTTGAGATTTAATCAGGTTCAATGCAGAGATAAATACCGGGTGAGGAAAAAAAAGAAAAGAAGAAAAAGTAAGGAAGATGGGGTCAACAGTTTAAATTTGAGAAGAATAGCTGATAGGTCCTTATGGCTGACAGACACTCTGACCCCAAACCATAACAGTCCACGTAAGACAAAGAAACGCGCCAAAAGAAATATTTATATATACTCATTTTAAACTTAATTAATGGACCAGTAAAAGCACTTTTAAGGTTAATTAACAATTGCTAATAATAGTCCAACACCATGTGTGTAGAAATTGAATTGTATGTACACTCAAACATTCAGTCCCCTTCTCTTATTTCGGTTAAATAAATACAATGTCTCTCTCTCCGTCGCTTCAGATTTGGAACTTCCGGCGTAAGCCACTCTCTCACACTTTCCTCATTTTTCTCATTTGATCTGTTAAATTCAATTGATTAAACCCTTTATTCATTTCCCCCACCTTTCCAAATTCATGCGTTTCAGTGAGCTATGGGCTTCAGCTAGATGAGTGAAGTGATTATACAAGTATGTATCTACCTTTTTCTTTTGATTTCTAGGTTTTAATAATCCGATTGTTGAATTATAACTTTGATGCACGGGTATCTGATCAGTAACAGTTTCTATATCCAAATTTCGCATCGCATAATTAGATTATAGTTTTTTGATTTTTAACTTTTCTGATTGGTATGTTAGTTTATGTTTTATCTCTTACTTTTGATTTTCTATTGAATCGTTACTGGAAATATAATTTTCAGATTGATTCGTTTGATGATCGGGGGGAGAGTTATTGAAGGAAAAGGCAAATTCGTCCGATTGTTTTACTGTTAATTTTTTTTTTCATTTTAAAGCGGAGTGGTTGCTGTGTAGCAAGGATTGCTATTTTCTGTGTGCATATATTGTAGAGGGATTGTCTATTTGGAAAAGTACTTATATTTAGTGTGAAATACTTCATTTATCAGTAGAAAAAAAAAGAGAGAAAAGGAGGAAGAAGAAGGATTTCAGTGTGTAAGTGGGAGAGCCGGAACGCCTTTTTTGTTATATTTTTTTTATGAAGTGGTAGTTGGTGGTGTGAAAAATCTTTAGTTGGTATTTCTGTTTACTTCAGCGAAGAAGTTAATGAAATCTAATTAGTTTTCTGTAGAGAGTGTAAAGCGTTCTTGCCTGTTTCATGTTCAGGTGACTTCTGATGCTAAATTCATCCAAAGATTTAGCTGAAACTATGATCGCCGGGGTGGCTGGCCCTTCTGGTCAATGGATCCAGCAAGAATCATCTCAGCCACTTATCTTGAGTGATGGCATATCTTTAAACAATAATGTAAATAACCATATACCTGTACAGACTAGTGAGGTATTTTCTATGGAATTTCTTCAGGATCCTTCTTCCAGAATAGTTCCTACTGTGTCTGGCTTTACTGAGAAGCATGATAAGAGAGCTGGACCTCAAAGTAAGCTAATCCAACATCCGGGTTATGAAGAGCTCACAAGGCTACTTGGGTTGACAAGAATGGATTCTGAATGTGCTTCTGACATAACTGAATTTGCTTCTGCAAGAGGGTCTATCACAGAAATTGAAAATGGGGTTTTTGTGGAGAATGAGCATACATATAATCAGAAAGTTAGCTCTTGTGGGCATGTCGCTGGGGGAGCTACTACAGAGTTATGCTATGATCAAGCTACTTCAGGGCCAACTGCTCCACCCTCGTCTAAATCTGAATCTTCACAGTCACTAAAATCTTCTGGATTAGGAAATTCAGATTGTTCCCAGACAGGAAAAATAAAATTCCTATGCAGTTTTGGTGGTAGAATATTGCCTCGACCCAGTGATGGAAAACTTAGATACGTTGGTGGTGATACACGTATCATTTCCATTCGGAGGAATATTTCATGGGAAGAACTTATGAAGAAAACATTGGCCATCTGTAATCAGCCTCACACTTTCAAATACCAGCTTCCAGGAGAGGATCTTGACGCCCTTATATCCGTCTCTTCTGACGAAGATCTTCAGAATATGATAGAGGAATATTATGGCCTCGAGAAGCTTGGGGGCTCCCAAAGGCTTCGAATATTTTTGGTTCCTTTGACTGAATCTGAAAACTCATGCCCTGTAGATGCTGCTGTTGTTCAACCAAGTGATCCTGATTATCTATATGTTGCTGCTGTTAATGGCGTTGTTCGGATGGATTCTTCCGCTCAGGAGAATTATCATGAGCAGTGTGTAGGCGATGAAGTCCGCAAGGTGATACTTAAAGTAGACCGTGGTAATGGTCTTTATGTCCCACCTCCTGCTCAATTGATTGGTGAATCTCAGAACCAGGTTAGGCTTCCCACTCAATCTACTCCTTTTTCTCCTGTGCTTGTTCAACAGGGAGATTACAAGAACGACCCAGGGAACACATACAAGAACCAGTCGCCACATGGTAGTATTGAATGTCCGGTGTCGTTTAGCAGCACCCAATCATTACCTGAAAACCCGAGTGGATGCATTAATGTTGGTTATTATGCCCCACAGGTAAACCTGATGAATTTGCAGAGTCCTAACAAAAAAGATGATATTGCCCTGCCAAGCCAATCTAGTGAATTGATTTCACATCACCATGGTCTCAACAGAGACTTTGTTGCTCCAACACTGGAACAATGTGATGCCAGCTTTCAACAGTACTCTTTTGAAAGAACAGAACCCAAGGAAAGGACGGTTCTCTCTGAAAAGCCGAATGATGAAATGGATCTATTGCTGGGATACACTTCAACCGTTACTCAAAATGGAATTCCTCATGCCTTTTCGGATTCAAAACTTCAGGAACATGGAAAAAGATCAGCTTACTGCTCACAAGAGGGAATAAGCTCATTTTCCTCTTTGAACTTTGCACCAGCTCAGTTATCTTCACATGGAGTGTCTGCTGCTCAGCAAGAGAACCTAGGGTCTCTGCATCAGAATACATACCCAGTCAGTTCTCAGCCTCATATTAGGGTATTTAATGGGGAATTAACTGTGGCCAATGGCATGGTGCCAGAGTTGCCTTTCGACTCAAATTCAGTGAGTAGATGTGGACCCGTGCAAAGAAATGTTAATGGTACTGACAGTAGATGCAACCCAGCTGAAGCAGATTTGGAAAATTACCATCCCGTTTTGAAAAGCTGTATGGACAACAATACAAGTTGTGAAATGGTGAATGCATGTGATGTCAATAACGCAATTTTATGTCATGATGGTAAATCACCTGATAACAAGTCATCCAGAACAGCTGTGGTTTTGAGGAAAAAAATGCCTGACGTAAACTCTGTTATGCTGTCTAATAATGGAGGTGATATACCGGGTGAAGAATCACAAAATTTTGACATGAATTTTCTTGCATCGGCACCTTTAATTAGTACAGTAAATGAGCGGTCCCAAAGAAATCAATTTGAGAATGCCTCAGCGGGGATAAAAAAGGATGAAACTGAGAACAATATATCCCGGGTCAAGAGCTCTGAAGTTGCTGGGAGGTTTTCAAATTCTGAGACACAGTCTCATGGTGCAGAAACTCTGACTGATCTACTTCCTGAGTTGTCTGATGGTCAAAATTCCTATCATTTCCCCATGCCAGCAGTTGTTGCATGTCCTCAAGATACTTTTGCCAAAGAACCATTGCTAATATTCTCCAAGGAATTGTCATCATCATCAGTTGGTTGTGATGGAGGCCAGTTGATGTCCTCGCATTACTCAGCTTTCAGGCAAAACCCAACCAAGGATGCTGTTTTTAGGAGAGAAGTTTCTCTAATTGATGAAGAATTTACCAATTACAGTGGGCAGAGAGTTGTGACTTCTGGCATTGGTGAATTTTCTAATGAAAAGCAAAAGATAGAAGATGCCCAAGTTAGTAAGAGTATCAAAGAAAGTCAGCAGGATCCGAAGGCAAATGGAAGAGATATTAGATCACCCAGTGATGGCCTATATACTGCAAATCTGCTAGGTTTGGACACCATTGGTGGTGAAGTCATATCTTCCAGTGCAACAGACGGGGTGGCATTTCCCCATGACTTGGGGTTGGAGGTGAAATTCTATTTCATTTTGGTGGGCTGGTTTATGATTTATGTTACTAAATGCTCTCACTTATGCTCGTAAAGTTTTACACTGATGACCTGGCTTGGCGCAGGATGCCAACCCCAGCGATGGAGATAAAGATAATTTAATCACTGATGCTATGATGGCTGAACTGGAAGCTGATTTGTATGGTTTGCAGGTAAAGGATCATTTCCTTTCGTATTTTAAACCTTGTGGGAATTGCTCATGATAACATCTTCATTTCTCCCCTTTTCAACTATGACGGCTTACGCTCTAATCTTGCGTAAGAGTCTGAAAGACTTAAACGGCATTGCCCTCTTACAGCCATAGTACCAGAGGCAGAATTATAATATTTACAAAGGAGGACGAAACTGTACATGGCTTTGTCCTTCACTAAATACTCCCCCTCCTGCAATACCTTTATCCTTTTATCATAGGTTGTTTCATGAAGAATATCTTTGATTTATTGTTGTGAGAAGGCACGGGAGAAAATATGATATATATTGATATCTTGTATGTGATGCAATACAAGA